TATCAGATTGTGCGCCGTCTTGGGGAGGGTGGTGGGGAGGAAGGGGGAGAAAAATTTTAAACTCAAAAGCATATGGAAGTGATTGTTGATAAATCAAAATAAATTAATTAAAAAAAAAGCTTCCTGTCGAAAGTGGAATTTGAACTGAGGCTTGACGGAAATCAGGAAAGCCTGGAGATGGAGATGAGGAGGGAGAGCCTTCCAGGCACTGGACCGACATGAAGGTGCACGGAGTCTGGAGAAGGTGGTTCAAGGAACAGCAAGGAGGCCAGTGTTGCAGAATCAAGTAGCAGATGGAGCAGGGTGTGTGTGTGAAAAATAAAAGATTGGAAAGGTAGGGGGGTTGGGGAAGTGATGAGCTTTGATTGTCAAATAGAAGGTTTTATATTTGATCCTGGAGGTGATAGGAAGCCATTGGAGTTTATTGAGCAGTAGAATGAGGGTGTTCCTCTCCCAGACTGATTCTTTTGTGAAGGCAAAGTAGGCCATCTTTTGCCTCAGTTCTTACCTAGCCTTTGACTACAGAATAGGTGTTGCCTCAGACAAACTGAGACCTGGGAAAGACCTTGGCTTAAAAGGGCCAAGGCCTCCCACTGCACCCAGAGCCATGACTGGAGTCATCCTGACCTATGTCTTGCTACTAGACTCTGATGACTCTGGAGGACAGAGTGAGGCTGATGACTTTGCACAGCTCTGCCTCACTTAAATCTAATTAACTTGCAAGTCAGGACATTAACTTCCTGATGTCATTGTCCTCTTTGAGAATGAAGGACAAAGGGGGCAGCTAGGTGGCGCAGTGGTAGAGCACCGGCCCTGAAGTCAGGAGGACCTGAGTTCAAATGCGGCCTCAGACACATAATACTTACTAGCTGTGTGACCCTGGGCAAGTCACTTAACCCCAATTGCCTCACCCAAAAAAAGAGAGAGAGAATGAAGGACAAGGGGGCAGCTTGGTGGTGCAGGGGTTAGAGCACCAGCCCTGGAGTCAGGAGGACTTGAGTTCAAATTTAACCTCAGACACTTGACACTTACTAGCAGTGTGACCCTGGGCAAGTCACTTAACCCCAATTACCTAGCCAAAAAAAAAAAAGAAAGAATGAAGGACAAACAACAGCAACAATACCCATTTAATTCAATCCATCAAGTATTTGTTGAATAACTAAGGATTATTTTGCAGTCACAAGAAACTGATGGAATTTGAATATTTTAAAGGAACCCAATCTGTGGCCCCAAATAACATATCCTACAGATATGAGACTAATCATCCATTAAGAAGATGCACTTCCATCAAAAGAGAGGCATTTGATTTAGCATTCCTGAAGTAAACAAGCCAAACCACCTATATAATGATCTAGATATTTGACTTGCAAATACTCCCAAATTGCAGAATCACAAGAAAGGTAAATAAATACATTTATTTTGTGAAGTGCCAAGTAGTGGAATGAATTATCTCTTGTTTATAGGCTATTTTTCAAAGAGACAATCCATTTTGAGATACAAGATCAAAGAAGTACTACCAAAGGCCACGTGGACCTAAGATGTAAAAGGTTAAAGGGAATTTAAAGAATCAGAAGAGCAGGAGGAAGAGCTGTATTAATACCACACAAGCCAAATCATGTGTCTACCATAAGTGATTCGGTGTTTTTGGTAGAAGATATAACAAAATAAAGAACTACACAAACTGGGAGAGGAGGTAAGAGACAGAGGGCACACCTCAGATACATCCTCACCAAGCCTGTAGGTAAATAGTGAAAGCATAATCACTTGTTAGTCTCTTAAAAGAATCAAGACCATGGGAGAATAGGATAAAAGCAATGAAAGGGAGGAATGGGAAAGAGGATCTCACTCTGGAAAGGGAAGCAAAAGGGTTCCACTAAAAAACTTTCATAGGAGGCAGGAAGTGAATGTTTCCTTCTATAAGAGAGTATGACCTTATAATGAATTTCACCTGGGAGAATTTGCACATTAGGAGAGCATCTCCTCTGAGAAAAAATTAGAACTCCCAACACTGAATTCCACTCCAGGAGAGGAGATGTATGAATCCCCTAGGGCAGCCAGCATCTAGAGTCTTAAGGGGAACATAGCTATAGATAGGATAACTTGTCCCTAGGAGTGAAGAGTAATTCTGGCAAGGGCAGGGGGTAAGACTAGACTTCATGACTTGGGGTACAGAACAACTACCCCCATGAATTCTGCTCCCATTTAACTGTGCATACTTTGTGAATTTATATGTCTAAAAATGAGACACAGCAGACATAGGTTTGTGCAGCACATTTTATTAGGATGGGTACCCAAGGAATTTTATTTTTTAAAGTGAAAGTTTATTGAATTGAGTAGTCATAAACCCCCTTTTTTATTAACCAAATTAAAGAAATTAAGTTAATTTTAGTTAACAGTTAAACTCCAGTAAAAACATACAAACACTAAAAAATGAGGGCCACAATTTCAAATTTTTTTTAGTTATTAAAGGGTGCAGGACACACCTAACACCCTATGTGCACAACCTGTAAGAGAGCCATTGACAACAAATTTAAAGTGTCTGTGGATGAATTGGAAGCTAAAATCAGATTGCCTTAAGATTTGCTGAGGCTCTTTTCTTAAAAGTAGCACTGTTAACACCATCATAAGAGTTTTTGATTCACTGAAGGAATTTACCTTCTTTGTCCCAGGCCCTTACAAATCTATTCCATCTTACCTGTATCCAGCTGTTCATATGAGAGTCTTTTCAGAATGAGCAAACTGAGAAGTACAGTGTCATTGTAGTGCTTCAACAACTCTTTGAACATTAAGTAAGAATTTGCTTTGTCAGTTAATTAGAATAATGTGGTTGAAGAATTTAAGTCCATAACAAGTGGTGAATAATGTCTCATTCTGTAGGACGGGAAGATGATGAAACCTTAATCTTAAATTTGATCAGTTTGGGTTAGTTCATTATCTGTGTAACCCTAGCTATCACCCAGGCAGGGAGGAGGAGGAGCATCTACTGGATTGAATGCTTCATATGCAGAGAAACTTAACTCCTAAGTTGTGGAAAGAGTTCTGAGATGACACTGAGGGGAGGACTTGGTACTGGATATGCATGAAGCCGCAAAAGACTCTTCAAGAGAGAAGTATAGAGAGAAAGCTTTTGAAGCCATAGGGAAAGCCAGCTTCTCAACATGTCCCTGATTTCCATATTGCCTCCCTATAGACTTGAGAGCAAAAGAGAGAACTTTTCCTTTGGTGAGATCTCTCACTTTCTTTTGGTTTGAGTTAAAATCTTACCTCGCTCACATCTCCAATTTGTTTACTCTTGTATATTTTCTTTATTTTCTGATTTGTAGACCTAGATGAAGAACTCTTTATTCATTATTTGTGATGTTCTTTTGGATAACTAATATTTGGTGAGGAGTAAGGTTGTCAGGTACAAGCTTGGGGCTGTCTTCCCCCTTAAGAACAACTAGGGAAGAACCTTTGGTTCTAAACCTGTTGTGCCCCTATACCAGAAATATCTAGAAGTAGGAGAGTAGATGTAATTCCAGCCCAACACACTTCCTTGCAGATAAGTGAGGGAAAGAGCAAGTGCCCAGTCACCACTCTCCTGCTCCTGTCAATGTGAAAATCACAGTCTATCCTGAAGAGAGGTGGGTGAGATTCCAGAGATCTATCCATGCTATGTGTGAGCCTGTCTCTACATTTAGACAACTCATGTGGATATGTATATTTTAATTGGACACATCCTACAACTGGCTAAAGATAAAGATTGTAAATATTAACTATTTTTGTATATATACCTGCTTATCAACAATAGCCAAAATTTGGCATTTGTGTGCCATTTTTTGAAGGAAAAAAAGGGAAAAAATACTTGTTAAGCACTTAATATGTGCCAGTGGTCAAAGGATTTGAACACATAGTTCTCAAAAGAAGAATCACAAACTATTAATATGAAAAGATTGCTCCAGATTACTAATAATAAGAGAAATGCAAATCAAAACAACCATTGAGGTTTCATCTCACACTTAGCAAACTGTCAAAGATGACAGAATTTGAGAATAGTTAGTGTTGGATAGATTGCAGAAATACAGGCACACGAATACACTATTTTGAACTGTCCCGGCCATTCTGAAAAGCTATTTGGAATTATGCTTTAAAAAAAAGTGACTAGGGGGAAGCTAGGTGGTGCAGTGAATAGAGCATGGACCCTGGAGTTGGGTCTCAGATCAGAACTTTGATATTCACTAGCTGTGTGACCCTGGGCAAGTCACTTAACCCCGATTGCCTTGAGAAAAAAAAAAGTGACTAAAATGCCCATATCCTTTGACCCAGAGATTCTGCTTCAAGTACTATACCCCAACAAGGTCATTGACAAAAAGAAAAGCTTCAAATATTTATAGCAGCACTTTGGGGTGTGGGGGGGTGGGGCAGTAATCAAAGAATTGTAAACAAAGCAGATGACCAGCAAATGGAAATGGCTAAACAAGTGGCATGTTGTAAGGGACCACAGGCCCAGTATGACCTCTGGAAAATTACTAGGTT